GAGTAATACTGGATTTTTCACCTTCCTTTCTTTCTTTTGGGAGCAGGGAAAAAAATGCAATTGAAAACAGTCAAATATTATTTAAGACTTCTACACAAAGTGCTGAAGCCGTTATACTGTTTGGGTTAAGACTGGTAACATATAGCTGTTGCTAGATAATGCTAGACTAATCCTTACCGTAAATGCTTCTGTAGAATCTTAACTATCACATTGCATTACGAAAACATCATAGAAGATAAGACGATTCACCACAAAAAAAAGAGCATACTGGCCGCAGGTATCCTAAAACATACACTGAAAAACCTAAAGCCTCCCCAAATGACTAAGTGAAAAAGCAGGCTTCCTAACCAGTTTCAGCATGTATTTCTGCTTTTGCAAAGCGAAAGCACGCAGAGTACAGACCAGTGAGGCACCCAACACACTCGCCTCTCTCCAGAGTCTTTCCAAACTAAGACAACTGAAACAAATCCTTATTTACATTACAGATTTACATTTTTACAGTTGGGGGTTGGGGGAGGCTGATCCTCTGGTCCTTACTCAGAATCTGAGTTCCCTGGTTGGTACTACCGACCACACACAGAAGGACCACGTCATTCCTGAGGCTTTCACTGAGATTTTCCAGTGCTTATTTCCAAACCTTGGCAAGCTGGGTAAGAGTTGCCTATTACTATTATTATCATCATCATCATTATTATTATTATTGCCACTACAACTACTACTAAGGCATGGTTACAAAAGAGGACTGATTCTGAAAGAAGCTGCAAACTGTGCAGCTCCTCTTCAGCTTTTTATCTATATATCGCTATTCTTTTGTTTAAAGAGAGCTTTCTCTAAACAAACCTTGCACAAAAGGTTTAGGTAATTAGTGATGGATTCAGGCAATGTAGCCATTCAAATATGGCTGTCCTCTGATCTAAAACAAGCTGATCAAACACCAGCAAGCTAATTGTTTCAGACACTGTACAAGCCTCAGTGTGAACATTTACAATCAAAACAGGTATTATTTTCTGCAGGAGAAGAGAGTCTCATGATCTATATATATCCAAACTAATATGTATAATGCATAAGCTTCCAACAGAAACCTAAACTACTGATGCCCACTGCCAGGAGGTATCAATATGAACCTCTTCAGCATTTCAAGATAATAAACTGCCTAGTGTATTAATTCATGAACTCAAAGAAGCAGCAGTTTGCATGTGAAAGATAGCTTGTGAAGAAGTACAAGTGGAATACAGCAGTATAGGTATTTCTCAGATGATCAGTGGTCAGCTCTGTTCTCAATTAAATAAATGGCTAGTTTTGTGCTGTCTTGGGGGCACCAGGCTTGTACTAACTGGGTACCTACAGTTCTGCTCTGTATTTCTTCCTCCTTCAACTCCCAAGCCTTAAAAATAGTGAGAATACTTTTCAAATGACCAAACCAAGTACATTCATCTCATCTGTCTTGAAGTATTCAAGGACTGCTTTTAAAAAATATTTTAGAGAACAATGCTAGAGAGTCATTGGGGTTCCCCACCCTACCCCAGCTCCCAAATCAGACTCAAAGTAGACGTACAATGAACCTCACCACAATATTTTCCATTGAGGCTAAATTATTTTGGCATTTCTTAAGAAGTCAAACAAGATAAATCCCTCTCAAAGCTTCACTTTCTTGGACTGGTAAACAAGCAGGTGACACAGATGGCACCAACATAAATGCTGCTTTGTCACAGATAATGGTAAATTCCCTGCACAGCACACTGAGGCTACTGAGATACTTCACAGAATGATGGACTATGGGTTCAATCCAACAACTCCTACTCAAATGAGTTGCCTTCACTCACATTAGAAAGACTACTGAAATGAATACGATTGAAAGAGGGTATGAACTCATCATGCAAACAGCAGTCTTTGCGGTCTTGTCCCAAACATGCACTCCAAGGGGAGGAAAGCAAAACTGAAAATAATGATTTATAAATATATTTAATAGATAAATGTGTATTGGTGAAATGCACGTTTCACAAAAGAGGTTTTTACCACCCCTTTCAGTAGTATTTATTAGTACGAAGGCACTAAGGTACTGCATTTATCGTTGCTTTTGAAGTGTAAGTCCTCATCTTCAACAGGGAATAAAGCTTAAAAACATACGCCTCCACATGAAAGGATATTTTTGTTATTTGCTAAAACTTTATCACTTTATGAGTGACAGAAATCAATACCAAAATTTCATCATTATAAAGATTTTTTAAATGCTAAAATATTAAGCTAAAAAAAATTTTTGTTTTTAGGTACAGCATACACCCATTACAGGACAACATAGTATTTTTCCATGTTTCCTTATGTTTTATAGTTTGCTTTCATTTTCTGATAGATTATAAAGTGATTAAATCCACTAAGTACTGAAGAATTTAATCTTATTTCTTTTATTCTTCCTGAAGAGAA